TTCAAGAAAAAACTTCGATTCACTTTTTTTGGGCTATTTTAACTGTTGTTCAAGTAAAATTTACTTCATTTTTTAATTGTTCATGCTTTTCTAAAAGAAAAAATGCTAAAGTTAAATTGTTGTTCTGCTTCCTAATGTTATTATTGATAAACGTGTCTATATAATATTCTTGGTATGCATTTATTTGGTGATGAATTTTGTTCAATAGAAGCATTTAATATAACATCACATAAAGAAATTCATATTAAATGTAAATGTTGTACATGTTATCAAAATGATTTTTTTTAAAAATGCTATTCATCTCAAAGATTTTTATTGTTTACAACAGAAAAAAAAATTCGATTCATTAGCTTTTGCATTATTAATCGTTTTTTAGGTAGCTTTGCTCGAATACTATACTACATTAGACATTATTCCCTTGAATGATATTAACACTATTTTACCTCGCAAACCAAATTTAACCTATTTAGCAGTCTGATTAGAAAATTTTCAAAGGTGTTTCACTATTTCTTTTTTTCTAAATAGTTAATAAGAAAGAAAGAAAAAAAGCAACAAAACGATTGATCTTCACCGAAGACAATGATAGAGAACGATCTTCTTCGATAAATTCTCATTAGAAACAATTTTGTATCTCTTATCTTGTTTGCTCACTTTATATATATATATATGTATAGTCATTGCTTAAATTTTTGCACTGTATACCTATTGTTATATGTCTGCTTGCTTAAAACACAGCTAATCACATAAGATAATAATTCGCAAAAAATATTTTTCAAATAGGTTTTAACTCAAGAAGATTGGAATGAAGTACTTTACAATGGCATGGAAAATACAAGTGTATTAACAGCCTTGTAATTTATTGCATTCATGACATTTGGAAATTAGGTTTTATTTAATTTACTTGTTGCTATTCTTGTTGAAGGATTTTCTCTACAGAAGTAAACGAAAAAAGAAAAAGAAATAAAATATTTTCTTTTCTATTAATTAAATTGTTGAATTAAATAGAAAATGGGTAATAATTTTGATACTGGAAGTAATTCAAATTGATATGGAAAAGTTGATCCATTCAAAGTTAGAAGAATTATTTACAGGTGATATTGATATAACTGATAATTCACATGATTTAATTAGTGATGAAACAGAAAGTCATAAAACAAACAAGTCAAGATAATAAAAATACTCGAACTAAAGGTAATTAAATAAATTAAATTTAAATAAAAAAAAAAAATAGTTTAATTTTATTTCAAGAAGTAAAAATAATGAGTATACTAAAAAAAATTGCAATAAGTAATAAAAATGATTCAAGTTTACGTGTTGTTGAAAATCAATTAAATAAAAGTTCAAATTCAAATTCAAATAATTCATCACCATATAAATCAATAATTAAAATTCGTTCATCTAAACCTCAATCATTATCATCATCAACAACACAAAGTTTTCATACATGTATTGAATCAATGGATAAATAATCTTCAAAAATTTCACTAGCGATTCATAGAAGTTATACGCAATGAACACTTAAAAATAATTCATTTACAACTATTTGTTATCCAAATCATCGAACATATAATTATCATAAACAAGCGAATTCATCAAATCCATATCAATCATCATTAACAAGACGTTTTATTATTAAAGATGGAAAATTAATTGAACAAGATAAATATAATATTAAGAAACTAAAAAAAACGTCGATTAACATTTGATAATTTAAATAGTTGTTTAAATCAATTTGAAACAACAAGTATTTATGAAACACCTAAACATGATTTTTATCAATATTCAGATAAAACATTTCGATTAGTTAACGAATACTAATAATGATCAAACTCTATTTCAAGTTAGTATTACACATCTATATAACAATTTTCTTTTTTTCATTTTATGTATTTAATTATTCATTAATCAACTATTTCAATTTTATTTTTCTTTTCAAATTTAATTAATTAGAAAAACAAATTGAATTTATTCTCGAAAGATTTTTTAAAAATATTCGATAATATATAGTAATAGTTTTGAATTAACTAATCAAGATTAATTGCTAATTATATTAATTAATGAGGAAAGATTACAAAATGGAACTATTGAAAATATGTTGTAGATTTATATACTAAGGGTGAATCAAGAGATGGGCACGGTTCGGTTCGATTTCAAGAAAACACGAACCGAGCCCATCGAAAAACAGTTTTTCAAGGCATTTCTCAGCTAACTTTAAATTTCAGTTAAGTTCATTTTTCGAAAAATCCGACCGTGCCCATTTCTGAGTGACCCCAAAAATTCCCAGAATTTCGGTGTATCCATTTACGAAAAAGGTTTAGATATTCTTTCGAAGTAAGCAATAGATATTGAATTGACCTCCTTGGTTATAATCCTTGCTAAATTATTGTAGCTGCTGACTATCTAGTCTATCAAGAATGTATCTCAACAGCTAAGAGCCTGAAAGTCTAGTCTAAGATGACAACGCGTGTCAAATCTTACCTTCATTCCTCTCACTTTTAAGTAAATAATAGCATTATGTTACATGCTGCTCAAAAACACTATGATGAAAAGTGATCGAACTTGATTATGATGATATGTTTTTGTTCGATAACTTTTACATTTGTCAATTTTCATGAAATAATTGACATATATTATTGTTTTTGATATTCTTAATAATAAATGTCACTTGAAGGACTATAGTTTCTCTCGTTGAACTAACCTTCGATAATGATTCTCATCCAATATTGCGATGGCGCATCAATATCTGATAACCGCTAATCGTATCATATAAAATCTGTTCGCCGCTTAGAAACTTCTTCGAATTTTTGAGAACTCAAAAACTTATTGAAATTCAAACAATAACCAAGGTGGCTAATTCAATACCTATTGTTTACTTCGAAAGAATATCTGAAGAGTAAGTTAAAAGGATAAAACCTCCTATGGAATATCACAGCAGTTAGCTCGAATATATGACACAGAAAGATGGATCGAATATCGTTTCCCTAAATAGATATATCGAATTTCTACAAACTTTTGGATTGCCCTTAGTATATTAAGAAAACAATGAATCTATCCATAAGAAAATACTCGAAGATGTTCATCATCAAATTGAGTTATTTTAGTTTTTTTTAATGTATATATTTTTTTTAAAAACTATTTATCGAAATTTTTTGAAGACATTTCTTGAAAAAACTTAGTCAATAATAACTTCTAATCAATGTTGAAATTGATATTCTTTTTCGATCAACTGTTCTGTTAATAATATGTCTTGAAATAAAGTTGCTAATATTGATTGACGATAATATTAAGCTCATCCTATTTCATCTAAATATTTATCACTAAATATGAATATTTGTAGGGATGGACTCCGAAAGAAATTTTAGTTCGAAGAAAAAAATTTCTTTAAATGAATATCTATATATTGTATTTTTTTTTCTGTTTAACGCTAATCGATTATGTTTAAATTGTCTATGTGAAGAACAATTATATAAACATTTTGAAAAACGAGAAAATTATTCACTTTATATTATTTTTCACCAGAAAATTGGTAATCAATTTAGTAATAAAACAATACGAAAATCGATATTTTTCTTTTGATTATTTTAGAATTCGTAAAGCATTACAAAGTTTAATATTAAAAAAAATCATTTGATTATTTAATATTATTTATAATAGCTCTTAATTATATAACACTTGCTATGGAACATTCATTGATTCCAACAACAAGTCCTGTATGGAAACAAACGTTTTTTTTTGTTTCTTTTCATTAAACAAAAAACAAAGAAAATATTAAAATAAATATTTTGTTTTGTAGGAACGACAATTTTTAAATTTAATAAATATAATATTTACAATAGAAATGCCGGCAAAAGTAATGGTAAGTGAATTTATATTTGGATTGCATACCTATTTACGTTAGTGGATGGAATCTTATGGATGATTCTCTTATTATTACATCAATTATTGCTCTTGCTACATTTTTAATTTGACTATTTGTTTATTTATAGTTATTAGTCGAGTACCTGGTCTTAAACTTGTTGTACAAACATTACTTTCATCATTACGACTAATTGGTTATATTGTTGTTATATGTTGTACGTTTTTTTTTTATTATATTTAGTATACTTGGTGTACAGGTAAATACTATTATTAAATTTTTTTTTTTGTTTTTATAGATCATAATCAATTCTATATTTTCTGTAAAACAAAAAAGATTCGATTTATTAAAAATAAAATTTCGATTCATTGTAAAAGGAACTTGAATATAGTTCCGTTGATGTCAATTTTGTCTTTTATTAAATATTCTCTTGATATTAAACGAATAATAAACTATTAATTATTATAGAAAGTACGAAAATGACCCATATAAATGTAGTGATGTTGGACATTTTCTATTACTATTAATTTTTTATATGTGATCAATAGGTAAATTAGTTATATCATAAGACAAGCTGACCGAATATGTTTTAATTTTAATTATAGAAAAGTATTAGTTTGCAAATAGATATGAAAAGCAATGAATAAATTTCTGACCTACTTTAGCTGAATCTTTTGGAAGTATAAACAATTTGTGTAGAATGTTCGATCAATAACAAAAATGAGAAGAGATTCGATATCAATAACTAAATAAATTTAATAGTTTTATTTAAAATCTAATTAGTTTTATCAAATTTCAAAATGAAAAT